TAAGTTCTAAATTAATTTTAACTAAGAAAATAAAATAATATATTAATTTAACCTAAGTCTAAAAATTATATACTTAAGAAAAAGAAATTAATTTGTTTTTAGAAAAATATTTTTTAGTCTTTTTGTTTTATGGAAAAAATAAAATATGTAAGTATATATAATAAATAAAAATAAATTTATATTTTTTATGATTTTATGAAAATAATAATAGTAATAATAACAATAATAATATTAATAATAATTATAAAATAATAATAATGAAGAAAAATAAAATAAAAATAAAAATATAAAGAAAAGTCAGGGGGTGGATCAGTAATGCAAGAGGTATTATGAGAAAAATGATTAGGCCCACAATAAAAGCCCAAGCGCTGCCAAAAAACACAAAAAGTCAAAAAATAGTGAAAAAATAGCAAAAGGTCACGCTGAGACTTGAACCCAGGACCTAAGGATGATATGTGTGTGCTTTAACCACTGAGGTGGTGATACATCCGTTAACTTGTGTGAAAGGATAAATACATAACACAAAACGCGCCATGATTACACTTCATCTTCAACCTCCAGCCAAAGGACATGTATCTTCTTCATCTCTCAACAAAAATAAAAAATTCAAACATGAAAGTTGTAGCATTTCTTTCCACGAATTCAACCATATAAATAACTTAAGCTAACAATCAAAGATAAATGAGAATTTTTCTGGCCCTAATTCAAAACCTAAAAATTTCAGAAAACTTCAACTTTAAAATTCTCTAAGCTCAGGCCATATAAATGCAAACTATGGATATGTACAGCTTTGTGGCAATGGTATCTATATTTTATCTTCACAAATCAAAATCAAATGATGCTTGTATGAATAGATATAAGTTTTAAAATTTACCTCTTGCAACTAGAGACGTGTATGGAGTTTGAGCAACCTTTGTGATGGCCTGATGATTTCTGTAGCTTGCCTGGACCTCCTTGAGTGTGTTCCAACTCTTACTTTGCTTTGAGGATAGCTGAAACTCCCAACTCAAGTCAAGTTACAAGCTTCAAATTTGGAAATGGTGGATAGTGACGGAGGAGTTACAGTCAAGGAACAGGGGTCTGGATCACTTTGATATGATGTATATTAAGTATTTGGATGGTTAAAACTCAATATGCACGAGTGGATTTGGAGATGGCTATGTGAGGTTCAAAACTGTCAAGTTATGGCAGATTCTGAGTTGCAGAGTGCTTGGGAGTATTTTGGGGTCTTAGCGTTTGTGTGTTATGTTGCAATAGACTTGTGTTTATGTATGGAAAAGGTTGGAGAACTATTGCACAAAAGGTTTCTGAGTTATAGGGTTATGGCTAAATTGCTTGATTTTGAAGAAAAGTGAAAAAAATCTGGTTTCGAGGCAGCAAGTACAAGCATGTAGGGTGGTTGCCAACTTTAAACAAGCTTGTCTAACTTTGTAGAGGAAGCTTGTGCAAAGGGAACAAGTGCAAAGCTCAATGCAAGTTGACTTTGCATAAAGCTTGCTTTATGTAAATGGCAATGGTGCCTTTGTGCCATTAATGGAAAATTTACTTGGATAAAGCTTGAATCAAGTGGATAATGGAAAATTTACTTTGACTTTTCAAAATGAAATCTCGACTTTTTGATTTCTTGATGAATAAGTTTCATATTTTGACATGTTTTGATGAATTGTGATCTTTGACATTGGATTTTGACCAAAAAGTCAAAGTTTGACTTTTCAGTGTACAATTGACTTTTGATCAGTTGACTGAAAATTCACTATCAATCCAATTGATCTTGAGCAATGTTTTAGGTCATTCCATTAGGTAAAAAAGATGCAATTGAACTCTTGAAACCATCCTTCAAACCAATTGACCATTTTCTAGGTCAAAAATCAAGAATTGCCCCTTTCTCAATCAAAACCCTAATTTTGACCATTTTGCCCTTTTGATGATTTGATCCAATTTCTTGAGGAATTATGGTCCAAACTTGATAAAATGATACATATGAGTTTATAATGTTGATGTGAATAAAAAATTATGAAATTTGACTGTAAATTGACCATAGTTGACTTTTTTCTCAATACAACTGATTTTTAGGTCAATTGCTCAATTGATTGAGCAAAAGTGTGATCCAGGGCTTGAAACTTGTCATGAGTAATCTTGGGGGTCCATAATGATCCATGAAAGTCATATAAGTATTGAAAGTTCAATTATCCTTGTGCAATCTCAAACCCTAATTTTGGTCATCAGTGCTTAAGGAGGTGTCTTGAGCTGATCAACCATAGTGCAGTCTTGAACCAAGAGAGATCTTGTGAGAGATTAATTTATAAATGAGAGGGTAAATTTTGGGGTACAACACATACACTCATGGTTCCATCCCGATATCAGGCAGCATACATATGTATCACACAACAAACAAACCATCTCACACTCGATTCAATCTTCTAAAGGTCAATCAACAAAACACTTCTCCTACGATTTAACCCGTCACCTAAGTCTCCATACCGTGACGCGTTCAACCCATCACCTAAGTCTCCATGCAGTGATGAGTTCCTTATATAATAGTCCATTACATAAGTCTCCATGCAGTAATGTACGAAGCTCGGTACATTGCCTCTAAGCCTCAATGTATTCTCCTCATCTAACCCACTGCCTAAGACATCATGCAACAATGTGGTCCTAGCTCGATAATAAAGACCATTGCCTAAGACGTCGTGCAACAATGTGCTTCTTTATTTCGCAACCCAAACATCGCCTAAGACTCATGTATACGGGGGAAGGGATCTGGGTTAGGGGTTTGTTACGCCGCGGTTGGAGGTGTCGCTAGGGTTTGAGTGAAGAAAAGGTTTGTGTGCTGTGCGAGAGAGAAAGGTGAGGAGACTGTAAAAATGTAAATGAAAAAACAAAAAATTAAACATTGTTAATAATCCCATTATGATCATATACGCGCGCATACATCATAATTATCATACACCCTTCAACCTCATCCGCTTGATCCTCGTTGGATGGTCATATGCCAAGTCTCCACTATAGCCTCGTGCACCCTCACAGTACACAATCAAACCGACCTTTTGCAAGGCTTAATGGCCAAGCCCGTTTAGGTTTCATACCCCCCATTTCATGTTTTTGCTAAACCAGTGAACAAAATACACCCCCTAAAGAGAATATCATTTGGGCCTAGCCCAACCTCTTTTTAACACCCCACTCTTTTACTGCTAGAACTAAAACTACACCCCCTGAACTAATTAATTCTTTTCTATTTTTACACAATTCTTATATTTGTTATTTTTTCTTTGTTATTCTATTTATTTTTATTATTATTATTATGATTATTATTGATTTTATTATCATATTATTATTATATTATCATTATTAATTGTTATTTATTATATTATTTATTATTATCATTTAAATAAATAATTATTTTTCTTAAAAAAACTCATGTATATTATTTTCTATTATTTGCATTAAAATATTTTTATTCATGCATTAATTAAGATATTTCACAATTAATTCTGTTAAAAAATACTTAACAAATCTCAAACTATTTTTCACAATCAACTAAGTTAAACAACCATTTTTTACAAAAGGGTTTCAAACGGATTTTGACTAACCGTACATTTAGCCAAAATCTCCGCAATCACTACTCCCGACCAAAAATCTCCGCAATCACTACTCCCGACCAAAATGCGAGGTGATTCAAAGTACGTTTGCAACCCATAAAAAACACCAACCCCATACGAACTACGAATTGGGACTCTGATTCATCATAAGAGGATAGGTAGGCATACAATCAAAAATCGTGGCGAGTTCCCTTAATTAAAAATTAAAACTCTTTTTCCTCCCTATTAAAATTTAAAACCCTATCTTACCCAAACCTAAACCTAAAACCTAGTATCCTTGTGAACAAGGTAGATGAAATGTGCCTAACACCTTCCTTTCGTCTAATATAGTCTGAAATCTAGAATCTCTATCTGCAAATTAAGATTTTCTGTTAGATTCCCTTCCCTAGGATAAAAATTAATAGTGACGACTCTGTATTTAAAATCAATCGCAACACTTTGATGTACCAACACAAAAAAAAAAGTAACATATATAAAAACGTAAAACAAAAAAAAACTTAGAGACTAAAATTAGAGATGGGAACAAGCCATACCGACTAACAGGGACCTATGGCTTAGCCTACACAGATCCAGATCAGATTTTTTTTTTAAATAGAAAAAGACTTAAGTTTTTTTTTATTAGTCTATTTAGTTAAAAAGACTATACCACATGCTATAAAAAACTTTTAAACCTATCAAATCAGTTTATTTTAATTAATAAGAATAAATTGATTATTATTATTATTATTATATTTTACTTGTACTTTGAATTAAAATACCAAACTAAAAGCTTAGTTATCTTTAAAAACTTATGAAAATATGTTGGAAAAAGCTTATGAAGAATGTTATAAGTTGTTTTTATTAGTTCTCTTTAATAAATAGTATCACAAAATTTATGTTAATAGATAAACTTGAATAAGTAAACTCAAATAATAATTTAGTCTCATTGATATTTTTAATTTGTTAATCTTTTTAAACATTAGTTTGTCTTCTTATTTATAAATATTTAAATTAAATAGACTTTTATACAGGTTAATAGACTAAATAATTTTAAAAAAAATCAAACTGAGGCCTAAAAAAAAATCTATGATATATCATAGATTAAACTTAAACTTTAAAATTTTCAATAAATCAAATTCAGACTTGAAAAAGCATAACTCGATCTAACCTATTTCCACTATCAACTAAAATTTAAACGGGAATAATATGAGTTGTATAATTGTATTTAAAGAAAGTGATAGATAAAATAATTGATTTAAAGTAAATTGAATAATAAATTAGAATGAAATAAAAAAAAAGGTTTGGAAGTAAACATAGAGTCATTAATTGCGTCGTGTGGAATTGAGTTTGACGATACAAGAGAGGAATAAACGTTGAATTGAATAGAATAAAGGGGTGGTGAGATCTGAAAATCCGATTCCGATGGCTTCTACGGAGGGTTTGGTGCCCATTACTAGGGCCTTTCTGGCTTCTTACTACGACCAACACCCCTTTACTCCTCCTCTTTCTCCAGATGTCTCCCGTCTTTCTTCTCACCTTCGTTCTATGGCCACTGATTTACTCACTCAACATCCTCCTATCCATGGTTTACTCCTTTCTCTCTGCCTTCATTATTTTATTATATAGTTAGGCCTGTTACACTCTTGATCTATTAACCATGGACTCCCACACTGATATGTCAATCCAGGAGAAAGCATATTAATAAATGAAGCTGAGAGCCACCCTCCGCATAAGATTGATCAAAATATGTGGAAGAATCGAGAGTATATTGAAGAAACTATTTTTTTACTTCAACCTTCTAATTTCCCTGACCCGGTAGGTTATCTATATTTTTCAATGCCAACTTCATTACTTCTCCTTAACATCATTAATCTAACAACTATTTCCTTGATGCAGTTCAAACAACAGTCCAATCCTGACTATGATCAATTTTCCATTGTGCTTGCCAAGCTGAAAGATAAACTTCATAATACTTTGACGACTTTGGAATCTTTCCAAATCAAAAATGCTGACCATGTATTTAACACAGGTACCCTGCCCACCCCACTTGAATGCCTTGTTTTTATTTTAACCACACCCATCCTACTTAGAATCAGTTTGCTTTTATGGAACTCATCTATCCATTTGCTATCATGTGTGATAGACTAGTATCCATTTAATTTTCATCGACTTGGACAAAACATATGATAGAATGTTTGGGGAGATTTTCTGGAAAACCCTAGAGAAGAAAAGGATTAGGATTGCATGTTTGGAGAGATTTGTGGAAAACCCTAGAGAAGAAAAGGATTAGGATTGCATATATTCAAGTAATCTAAAAGATATGTATGAAGGGGTATCGACTAGTATGAGGACTCTGAGTGGAGAGACATACGATTTCCCCATTACAATAGGATTGCATCAAGGTTCAACCCTAAACCCCTACACTTTTACTTTAATTTTAGATGTATTCACGAAACACATCCAAGACCTAGCATTGAGATGCATGCTTTTTACAGATGATATAATCCTATTTGGAGAGTTAAAAGAGGATTCAAATGAGAGATTGGAGGCTTGGAGACGAGCCTTAGAAACACATGGTTTTTTCGTCTAAGCAAAAGTAAGACAAAGTATATGAATGTAAGTTTAGCAAAAAGAGAAGCGTTTCTAATCTAGAGGTGAAAATTGGAGACCATATCATCCCATAAGTCGCACGGTTTAAATATCTTGAGTTCGTAATACTAAATGATCAAGAAATAGAAGGCGTTGTAAACCATTGAATTTAAGCTAGATGACTAAAATAGAGGAGGATTTTGGGGGTTTTATCTGACATAAAGGCACCACTCAGCCTAAAGGCGGTTTGGACATGTAGAGAGAAGACCTATAGATTCAGTAGTAAGGAGAATAGATTAGATGGAGTGGATTCAAACATTTAGAGGTAGAGGAAAACCTAAAAAAACTATAAGAGAAATTACTAAGAAGGATCTTGAGATTAACAAATTGGATAGAAATATGGACTTGAATAGAACATTATGGTGAAATTTGATCATATAACCGGTTTCACTTAGTGGGATAAAACTTGGTTGTTGTTGTTGGCTGGGAAAAAGTGATGGGGCATCTAGATACTTTCTAGAAGAAAGTGGGGCCATGTGGGAGAGCATATTTTAGTTTATGACGTGACACTTATATCAGGGAAATACTGTTTTAAGAGAGAGTGGTAGGGAGCAAATCAACATTGTTAGAGTTTGTTAGGATAGTTTCTCTCTTGTAGAAGTATATTGCTATGGTTAGGACTTTTTGAACTCTAGTTTATCCTTTCATTATCATTTTCCACCGTTATAGAGTTCTTGAACTCATCTTTACCATTCAATAATGTACAATCTTGTTGCATTGATTTTACGGGCGGTATCACTAGTTCGACTTTCCGGATTATCAAGAAGAGCCAGCAAAATCTCAATCTCAGTCAAGTCACCAGAGATCTCACGAAAATGTCCTAACAATTGGATGCGCTGGATGTGCGAATCGATGCATTGGAGAACTCCTCGCCACAAAATATGGAGGAATTCCGTCAAATCATGATGACGGAAATCATGAAACTTCTGGATCATTGTTCTTCAAGAGGTGCCCATTCTTTTTCATATACTGAAGATTCAGTTTCTACATCTTAATATGGTGAGGAAGAACAAGGAAACAGATCTTGAGAGAACAGCCTTGACACCTGTTTTTTAATCATAGATGCCGCAAAAAACAGAATATTTGATATGCGAGGAAATTCTATAGCAACACATGTCGCTTGGTCATTATACTTCAAGCCATGGAACACTAACAAAACCATTTTCAGCCACTACAAGATTCCTGTCCAATCTGAGCTAGAGAATGACTTATGTCATGGAAGCACTCACCATTTGAAGGTGTAAATTGAAATGGATTTGTTTAGAAGATTAATGTCCTAAGTCCAATTTCGAGGACAGATCTATTTTTTAAGAGTGTGGCATCAATAGGACACCTAGACATGTTCTAGAAGAAAGTGGGGCCATGTGGGAGAGAATTTGTTTTATTTAATGACTTGGTAGTTGGCACTGATATTAGGGTAATACTATCATGAGAGAGAGGGATGGGGAGCAAATAAGTTATTGAGAAAAATTCTCAGAGTTTGTTTGGAGAGTTATCCTTTCTTTACCATTTCCCCCCACCACACAACTCTTGAGCTTATCTTTACCATTCAATAATATACAGTTTCATTAACTTGATTTTATGCGTTCTATCAAAAAGTTCACTTGCTTACTTTTATTTGGCTTTTGTTTCTAACTCTACGTATATCGTTATTTATATTGTCTGTCTTTGTGGACATCGCGAAACGACACTACTCAGTAACATGTGTGTGTATATAGAGGCAAAGGAGTAGTCGTGGGATAATTAGTTTGGTTCAAGAAGTGCTGAGAATAAGTCTTAGACTCAAAGAGCGTCTTCTAAAGAACCATGTATTAGAAGAGTAGACCTATTTGTAATTCAATTTCTTCTATAAGCTACTTAGATAATTTATTATTTTTGTTAGTTTTTCTATAGTTAATGTCTATAATCAGTTAACAGTATCTTGTTGCTATGTGTTGGATCATGTTATTTGTGTCAAATAATGCCCGGTTTCCTATTTAAGTTGTGTAAAATAGTCGGGACCAAGAGTTGATGGTTATATATATCAGTTCATGGTGGATACCGTTATGGCTATTGGAATATAAGAGAGTATCTTTATTTTACAGCATTATCGTTTTCAAAGTCCTTAGTATTTCTGTTCTCTCACATGCAGGTGTTGTCTGTCTCATTTTAAGTAGGTTTTTTTGTCCCTATACAATTTTGAATTGCAGTTTTAGTCTAAAAATTCAAAGTCGAAGCTTAGACCATCTTTTATTTGTTAGTTGTAGACTTAGAGTCTTCTATGAAATTTTCAACCTAGCGCCATTGAAGTGGCACCCAAAACTTGAATCTGGTGCTTAATAGTTGAATCTGGGATTTGAAGCGCTTTCTGGCACTTAAGTCAGCAGGTCATGATATGGTTCCACTTCCACCTTCCATCTTCTACTTCCATTTCCACCTTCATCTATAAAATTAAGGACTAAATTGAAATTTTAATTTTATGACGACTAAAACCAAACCTTGAGAATTTTATCTACGGGAAAGGACCATACTTAAAATGTCACAAACAACCCCAGCCACGTGAGATTTTTGAGATTCTTATTAACAACTGTGCGAGGCATTTAAATTTATTGCGACATGTGTCCTTGTTTATTATGCATATAATAGTTAACTCATTTTATCCAGATTCAATAGTAAGTTGCTTATTTGGAATACTTGGTCCAATCAATCTTTTTCTTCTCTAACTTGATCAATTGTATATGTAGTTATGACATATCTGCCTCAAGATTTTCGAGGAACTCTCCTCAGACAACAACGTGAACGCTCAGAAAGGAATAAACAAGCAGAGGTAGATGCTTTGGTGAATTCTGGTGGTAGCATACGTGATCGATATGCTCTTCTGTGGAAACAACAAATGGACAGGTGAGGCTCCACTCATGTCTAGTTGAATGTGCATGGATAAATAAGATATATATTAAACCACTTATGGGTCATAGGAGAAGGCAGTTGGCTCAGCTTGGCTCTGCAACAGGAGTCTATAAAACCCTCGTGAAGTACCTAGTTGGAGTTCCTGAGGTATGGTTATCTTGAATTTTCAATACAAGGTCCTTTCTTTTTTCCTTTCCCTCTTTTGTTTCTTGTTTGGAATTTATTCTCTCAGACTGTATTTAAATCAGCTTATGCAACTTTTTTTGGCTTATTCGTAACTTATTTGTAACGGGCCTAGCTTAATTGCTTAATTCTTCAGGTATTTCTATGTAACATGGACATATCAGTTTGTGTTGGAATATATATAAATGACATTAATAGGGTAAATATATATCGAAATTACGGTAGTTAGGATTTTTTTTAATTCTTGTAACTATGACATTAAAACTATAATAAAGCTCCTGCTTTGTAATTTTACACACTCAAATTTAATCATGTTTTTTTGTTTCGTCCTTTCTCAACATGATATTTAGAGCTTCATGAGAGATGATGATATTCAACACAAGCCTGGTGGAACCACTTTCCGTTGGTGAAATTTTCATATGGAAATTGTGTTTCAACTCTGGTTAATTGTCTTCGTTGCAGTGTCATCCTTTTAGTAGCTTCACATGCCTTGATAGCCATCATATGTATGGGAAAGTGTAGGGTAACTACTGATTAATTCCTCAAATGAATAGTACATGTACATATAGAGTCGTTGTGTTGAATCCCTAACATAATCTCTTAATTAGGGAATCTACCCTAACTGCAAGATAATGTGAACTCAGTTACAAGTTACAAACTCCTCATATATATACATTCCTAAAACACAGATTTTCGTTCCACACTTCCCCTCAAGCTAGTGAATAGATATTCTACATTCTTATCTTCCGCATGCTGCCTTTTGTAGATAGGTCTTAACTTATCCCAATTTGCTTCAAGAACTTTTAGTTGTTAATTGGGTTGTAAACAGCCATGGATTTGAACAAACATTGCGACGGTATTAGGTTTGTGCTTTAAAACATAATGTCCAAGCCTATCAGGAATAAGCATCCACAAATATATGTGCGCACTATTCTCTAACAACCGACTAGTTATTTTCACCAAGTTTTCAACAGATCTACAGATAAGTTATACATGTACCAAGCTTAGTGTGTTGACCAACATGCTGTGACAAGAATTTAGATTCATAGATTTAATTACATCTCTCTCGACTCCTCCTTCCTTGGTAGCAGGTTTAGGTTGATTCGTGACTAATATTGCCAATGTGATACTTATGATGAATTTAGACAAATGTTGCTGTTTATATTATTATCTTTTGGTACTGGTTCTTTTGACTGATGATTTGTTGATGTTCTAAATGACTCTTCAATTTGAGCTATAGGTATTGCTTGATTTTACAAGGCAGATTAATGATGATGACGGGTACAAAATTACTCTTTTTCAACGTTGTTCAAGCATTCTTTTTTATATCTTCACTTATGTGTGTGTGAATAACAATTACTTGATAACTCTTATCTACTGGTAGGCCCATGGAGGAGCAACGTCATCGCTATGGACCACCTTTATACAGCCTCACCTCAATGATTCTTTATGTCCGATTCTTCCTTTCATTATCGTGGGCACGATATGGGCTTAAAAAATTGTGAGATTCCTTGAGTCTTTGGTATTTCAATGCTAGATTTTATGTTTGATTGTGATGTTCTTAGTTCTATCTATTGGTATAAGAAATTGCGAGATACCTTGCATCATTGCTATGTACACATACCCACTATGGAGACACCCACACACGTACACACTCACAAGAAATGTAATCTAAATAGGATGAAATATCTAGATTCTAAGCACGAAGAAATCTAATTATAATCAATATCTCAACAAGCACAGGCACACGCACACATGAGATATATAATCTAAATAGGATGATTTATCGTGATCTTAAGTACCAACAATTTTAATTATAATCAATATCAATATCTCAACACCCATGCTCAATATGGAGAAAATATATCATACATACATCTTATTACATATGTAAGTTAATCTAGGACACTATGGAGATTTAGTAAAAATATCAACATGTTGATCCTTAGAATTGACAACGGAAGTTCTGATGTCTCTAGAGAGAATCATTTCCCAAACAAAATGACAGCAACTTTTATATGTTTTGTCCTTTTGTGGAAAACTAGAATGGGGAATCTTGAAAAGAATGATAAAATGCTGTTATGATTTTATTCTTCAGCTCTAGGCGGGTTTATATAGATAGTAGTAATATAATAGTTATAATTAATTCTCTCCTTAATGAAGAATAAAGGAAAATAAAAGAGAATAAACAAGAAATAATAAAATAAGGAAATAAAATATTTTCCAACACCCCTCAAGTTGGTGCATAGATATTTATCATGTCCAACTTGTCTATCAAATGCTCAAAGGTAGGTCTTGTCAAACTTTTGGTCAGGATATCAGCAGTTTGCTGACTTGAAGTCACAAACGGGAGACATATGATTCCAGCATCTAACTTCTCTTTTATGAAGTGTCGACCAATCTCAATGTGCTTGGTTCTGTCATGTTGAATTGAGTTATGAGCTATTCTAATAGCAACTTTGCTGTCAGAGTATAATTTCAATGGAAACTCATTTTTCATCATAAGTTCTTCTACCACTCTAAGGATCCATAATCCTTCACAAATACCTTGAGACATATCTTTAAACTCGGCTTCTGCACTACTTCTTGCTACAACTCCTTGTTTCTTGCTCCTCCGTGTCACAAGATTACCCCAAACACAAACACAATATCCAGAGATTGATCTTCTATCTGTGGCTGAACCTGCCCAATCAGCATCAGTGAAGATAGACACATTTCTTTCACTAGTTTTCTTAAAATGTAAGTTTTTTTCAAGATTTCCCTTCAAATATCTCAGTATCCTGTAGATTGCCTCAAGATGTTCCTCGTAAGGAGAACGCATAAACCGACTTACTGCACTAATTGAGAAAGCAATATCAGGTCGAGTGTGTGACAAATAAATCAGTTTCTCAACCAATCTCTGATATCTTCCGGTATCAACAAGAACATTACCTTCTTCCCAAAGTTTAGCATTAGGATCCATAGGAGTATCTGCAGGACGACATCCACTCATTCCTGTTTCTTTCAATAAGTCTAGAATGTATTTCTGCTGTGAAACCACAAAGAAAATATCTCATGGATCCTAAGTCCTTGATTTCAAAGTCTACTGCTAATTTTTCTTTTACTTTTGCCATTTCAACTGTATCGTCTCCAGTAAGGACAATATCATCAACATAAACAATCAGGGCAGCAAATTTCCCATTGTGGGAGAATTTTGTGAACAAGGTGTGATCAGCCTGTCCTTGAATGTACCCTTGTTTCTTCATGGACTGGGTGAGTTTTTCAAACCAAACTCTAGGGGACTGCTTTAATCCATAGACTTATTTAGTTTGCATACATTTGATCCAAATTTGTTTTCAAACCCAGGAGGAATGTCCATGTATACTTCTTCTTCTAGATCGCCATTAAGAAAGGCATTATTAATATCTAACTAATGTAGGGGCCAATCCAGGTTAGCAGCAAGAGATAAAAGAATTCTGACAGTATTCAATTTTGCAACATGAGCAAATGTCTCTGAGTAGTCTATACCATAGGTCTGTGTAAAGCCTTTAGTCACCAAGCGAGCCTTGTACCTTTCAATTGACCCATCTGAATTATACTTCACAGTAAACACCCATTTGCATCCAACTGTCTTCTTGCCATCCGGTAGTGTCGTAACACTCCAAGTTTTGTTCTTTTCTAGAGCTTTCATCTCCTCAAGTACAACTTCCCTCCACTTTGGAACTTCTAGAGCAACTTGTACATTTTTTTGGAATTTCTACACTAGACAATTTTGAGGTGAAGGCAGACAAAGATGAAGACAAATTTGAATATGATGTAAAATTGGACACGGGGTGTTTAGTATAAGATCTAACAGGTTTTTTAATGACAACATGATCATCTATATCAGGATACAAAATACGACTTTCAGAAACAGAGATGGACTTACCTTTCCTATTCTTAGGAGGTTGATCATTCCCCGGTTCAGATTTCTGACAGTGTTGAGATGTGGACTCTTCCATTCCTTTGTGGTGCTTTTTCACAAAAACCTTCCCTTTCCAAATCCCGTTTCCTAATTCAAATCTGTTTTCCTGAAGTGACTCATTATTTTGTGGCATTTCAATTAGATTATCACTGTCATTATTTTCCGAAATTTCATTGTTTTCTACATGAGAAAATGTAGGCTTGGATTCACAAAGTTCCTTACTCATAACAGGAGTAGGATCAGATAAAGAATCATGGCCATTTTCTGTTGGTGCAGAAGTATAAGTCTCAGAACTTTGTGATACAGGCAAAGATAATTATTTAAAAAACTTATGTCCTCAATTTGAAACAAGTCTTCCTTTATATCCCCCCTTGAAGATGAGTGTCACCAAAAATGGTTTATTTTCAAAGAATGTAACATCCATAAGAACAAACATTTTCTTGTTTTTTTGGATCAAAACATTTATATCATTTTTTGGGTTAGGGAATATCTAACAAAAATACATTTTATAGCATGTGGTTCAAGTTTTCCAACATTTTTATGTTTATGAACAAAAGTTGTGCAACCAAAGATTTTTAATGTCATATCAGTTAAAACACGAGTACTAGGAAAACATTCTTTGAAAGTATTAATTGGAGTTTGAAAATTGAGAATTTTGGAGGGCATTCTGTTAATTAAATATGCAGCGGTTAAAACAGCTTCGCCCCACAAATAGTTTGGTACTTTATTTGAGAAAAGTAAAGCTCTAGCGACCTCCAATAAATGTCTATTTTTCCTTTCGGCAACTCCATTTTGTTGAGGAGTGTTAGGACATGAACTTTGATGTACAATCCCATTTTTTAGAAAAAAATCATCCAGGATAGTGTTAAAATATTCTTTGCCATTATCACTTCTAAAGACTTGGATATTTGTTTGAAATTGGTTTTGCACTTTTGTAAAAAACGTCTTTACAGCTTGACAAACATCTGATTTCCCCTTTAGCAAGTACACCGAACATACTCTTGTATCGTCATCGATAAATGTGATAAACCATTTTTTGAGAGAGAGTGTACTTGTACGGTTAGGGCCCCAAACATCACAATGAATAATAGAAAACGGTTTTGATGGTTTATAAGGCTGTATTGAAAATTGGGAACGATGATGCTTTGCAAACTCACATGCTTCACATTTAAACGAAGAAAAGTTCTTATTATGAAATAACTTAGGAAACAAGTGTTTTAAGTAATGAAAACTAGGATGACCTAATCTTAAATGCCAAGTCATAATGTTGTCATCTTTATTATTCAATATAGAAAAAGACTCAAAGCAGGAACTTATTGTTTTTGAAGGTAGTTGTGATGCAGATCCAATGTCAAGGTAGTAGACTCCTCCACTCTCCTTAGGACTGCCAATCATCTTCCCCGAGTTCAAATCCTGAAAGACACAGTGAGATCGGAAAAAATTAGTTTGACAATTCATATCTTGGGCTAATTTACTAACACACATTAAATTACAAAATAAGTTTGGAACATGAAGAATGTTTTTAAGAGTTAACACTGGAGACAACACAATTGACTCTTTATCTGCAATGGTTGAAAAAGAGCCATCTGCGATTTTTATTTTTTGATTACTTGCACATGGACTATATGAAGAGAACAAAGTAGCTTCACCTGTCATGTGATCAGAGGCACCTGAATCTACAATCCAAGTATGACTGTGACTGACACTAAGAAATACAAAATCACCTTTTGTTGCTATAGAGCAAGAAGGATTTGGAGACTTGAGGAGTTTGTACCGTTTGTCTAGTTGTTCCATAGTGAGTGGAAGCTGAGTCGAAGAGATGTGCTGTCCTTGATCAGAATTACCAGCCTGAAATGCACGACCACCGACAGTTTGTCTACCATGACCATCTCTGCGGCCACCGGCGTCACCGCGGCCACCGCCCAACTCAGGTGGTGGTTGTTCGCCATGGTTGGATTCGGTGTAGGTTTGTGCTGAGGAAGACCACCTGTTCTGATTCTCCATAGAGGGCTAAACGGGTATGTGAAGTGGGTCGGGTAAGAAAGTAGATCAAACCAAATTTTTTTACGGTAATAACTCCAAACCCCACTAGTTGTAGGAAGCTTTATAATAAAACCCTAACCTAGTGTTCTTGATACCATATTGAAAAGAATGATAAAATATTGTTATGATTTTATTCCTCAGCTCTAGGCTGGTTTATAATACAATAATTATAATTAATTCTCTCTTTAATGAAGAATAAAGGAAAATAAAAGGGAATAAACAAGAAATAATAAAATAAAATATTTTCCAACAGGGAAGATGTGTGAAGCTGACTGATTAGCACATATAAGTGGCCAACCTCAAAATATAATTTTTAAAAGTAAATGTTTCAACCACACAATTTGATACCTGACTCGATTTCGCTACTCGATCAAACAACAACAATACGCCTTTTGTTCTTCCATGAAATTAGATTTCCAATGCATTTTTTGAGTTCCACACATTGGAGGGTTTTAATCCAATGAAGAAAACTAAAATCTCATGCAAGGTGGGTGGACTATTCACCACCCTTCCTCTTCCCTTTACTCATTCCTTTGTCCACAAAACTCTCCCTTCCCTTTTGCACCCAACTCGCCAGGGTTTACTCAATATACCGAGTAGCTTGGAGTTGTTGATTTGAAATGTAGTACTTCTTTGTGGATGATCAGCTATAATAGACGTATGCCCATTATTAGTATATACGTTGATTTTTTGTTTTGGCTATGATTGTCTTGGCTTGGATTTTGCCCATTATTAGTATATATGTTGATTTTTTGTTTTTGTTTTTTTATGTTTGTAACTAGTTGAATGTAACAACCACTTCTAATTGTCCGGGGCAGGTTCAGGATATGTTATGTTTATAGAAGATTTTAGGCGCTAAATAATATCAATAGAGGGAGGATGAGTTTTGTGAAGATGTTTCTTGTTATCTTTTTTTTGTTGTTGGGTTAAGTGATGTTTCTTGTTTCGTCTATATGTTTAAAAGTTACTTCATGATGGTACAGAACTATGCATATTACTTCCCTTTGTGTCTGCCTTCAGCCTGTAGAGGAATTCTGCTACTATTTAAAATAATTGATGGACTTTTGTAGTTTGATTCTTTAACAGTTGTGGTGTTCTTATATTTTTTTTACAATGTAGAGCACTTTTAACCTTGTCTTCTCTATGTGGGTATAATTTGTTAGAAAAAGAGAACAGATAGCTGTCTTGGAACAAGCTGTTGATGTCTACACCATGGAGTTTGAGAGATTCATCACATTTCTTAGGTATAATAATGCTCGAGTTCATGCCGCTAATCCTTTAAATTTCTGTTTTAAGTACATAAAATTGATGCTCGCTTTAAATCTGTTTTTTTTTACTGAATATTGATTTTCATGCACAGTTTATGGAAATTATCTTCACACATATATAGTTATATATTTAGAGTGTTATTTATTTTCATACCCGAGATAAAAGTAAATTAAAACCATGCAGCTATAAATTGATGGGCAAGATTAAAGTTAAATAATGTCTTGAAAGAACTTTATCTCTGTGAATGGAAATCTGTCATTGTTCTCACTTGTGTTACTAGAATTTTATTTCTTGTTGAATAACTTACTAGTAATTTTGATCAGTGGGGTCTTTGCAAACTCGCCTTTCTTTATTCCAGCAGATGTTGCCGGTGCAGCGGAAGCAAGGTAAATATCAAATCTTGCTTACTTGTATGATTTATACTATTTTCAAGCCAATATTAAAATTTGTCCTTTTCAGTAAAAATGATGACTTCAAAGAAATAAGTGTTCCAGCTGGGAAAACTTTTGAGGTATATTACAAGGCTTGTGAACTTTATTAACATCTTTTTCTACAAGAATGACAAATAATTGTTGTTTAATTTATAAATTTTGCTTCCTGTTGTACATGACAGGTAACAATCTATAAATTTCTTGTTGATAATTGAATCTGCGACTCAGCTGTATTCATAGTTTTTATTTTTTATTTTTTTTTTGCATTATGCTGCTTTTTAATTTATGATAATATTTGAATCTCAGGTTATACTCTCGGTGGACTCGGTAAACTCGTACATTGCATGGGATTTTTCTTTAGTACAAGGCAAGATAAATATGGTATTGCTGCTATATTTTTATGTGCATGCAAATTGTAAAGATATTCCTAAGACATCCTTCTATAGTAAGCTTCTTTTTGTTTATTGTCAGGATATTGGATTTACTTTGGAGTTTGCAAGTCCTAATGGGGACAAGACTGTAAGTTTGCCCATTCTTATCTTCGATCTGTTAGGCTCATACGCAGTCCCTGTTCTCCATTATTCAGTTCTGTATTGTGTTTTGTTCTCTTAACCGATGTCTGTTTTGCCATTTGTTATTCTCGTGGTGGCTGATTGCTTGACACAGCTGATGTTGCCTTACCGTCGATACGAGTCTGACCAAGTGAGTCTGCCATGTTTGTTGCAACTTGTATGCTTGCTTCACTAGGCATTTGATGTGTAAATATTTATCTTTAATTTGATACATGATATTTTTAGGGGAACTTCTGCACATTAATGGCTGGAAGCTATAAACTGATATGGGACAACACACATTCTACTTTTTTTAGAAAGGTATTTATCACGTCTCTTTGTTCCATCTGGACTGATTACTGAATAAAATATGCTCTCTAATTGGGCTTATATAATAATACATGTTGATGATTTTATGATGAATGTAGGTGCTACGGTATAAGGTAGATTGTATACCTCCTGTCGCAGAGCCTGTGCAGTAGGAGTGGTACAAAAATGCTGTAGAAACCGATTGATTTGCAAGTAATTTTACTCTTATTAAAAACAGAAGTTACAATTTCGATTGAGACGTGTTCAATTGATTTCTGTAAAGGGAGGTGGTGTAAAGGAGATGGGTTGCATAATGTGGCTGTAGGAAGCCGACTGTTGTAATGGCATAAAAAGAAATCCTTATATAATAAAAGAACAATATGTGAATGGTATGACATTCGGGTTTTAAAAGAAAATTTTAATTACAAACTTATGGAAGGATATTATTATGATATAACCATCTACATTTCTTAACTATTCAAGATTTTCTTAAATCCTTACTTTTGTAAAAAATTTGTTATAATTTCAAAGTGGATTTGAAGTTAAGAACTATATAAAAAAAATATAAACAAAAATGCACCTTAATTTTATGTATTTAGTATCTTAATTAAATATGTACCGACAAGCATATTGCTTATGTACCATTTTTCGGGTATGCTTAACAGGTAAAATAAGCTATTTTATAGTTTATAATTCATAAAATTATTTATAGTTTATAATTTATAAAATTTTTATTATATGAATGGAAATGATGTATTTGATAATAAAAACTTGAGCGTAGTTACAAAAGGGGATGCTTTTAAACTTATGGGTGTAACCCACTCTTGAAAATTTGAAATTGCTTTTCATATGATTGGAGATATGCATCTTCGGAACTCTTATGGGTGTAAAGTACACAAATTTTTCTCTTTTTGAAATCCATCCTATTTTAAAGATGCATTTTCATGCTATTCGGAGATGTCTCTAATATAAAGATGATTTGTGATCTAATTTAATAATATCTGATGATAAATAAAAAGACATGCAACAGTTGACAGTTGGTAACTGAATTGCAAAAGACAATTTTGGATAATGAGATGAAAGTTGTTCCTAATTTTAGTGTTCTCCTTTCCATTGGTTGGTAGCTATTAGATCCTGAACTTGTGAACCACAGAAATAAGTCAAATTGATAAAACAAAAATGTGTTTCTCTATTCTCCATATATATTCTAAAATTAGTTATGTTTTTGGTAAAGTTCAATTTTTCAATATCACCTTGAACCCATTGTTTTTTTCCCTTGGCTGTTTAGCATCATGAGTCTGGTAAAAGTAACCATCATATAATAGAACAAAAAAGTCTATTATTTTGATTGAAAGAGATAAGAAAAAAGAATTGGTGGAATGGAAGGATTGGATGGGCTAATAGAGAAGCTTTTGGAAACAAGGAATAATAGAGGAAAGCGGATTCAACTAGGGGAGTCAGAAATTCGCAACCTTTGCACGAAAGCAAAAGATGTTTTCCTGAGCCAGCCAAACCTACTTGAATTAGAGGCTCCAATTAACATCTGTGGTATCTCTAATTGCATTTCTCTAATAATAAATATTATGTTTGATTTAGATATTGCAAATTGTTTAACGTTGATTCCATTCCAGGAGATATACACGGGCAATATCCGGACCTATTGCGAGTGTTCGAGTATGGTGGATTCCCTCCGGATTCGAACTACCTATTTCTTGGAGACTATGTTGACAGAGGAAAACAAAGTATAGAAACAATATGTCTCCTTCTCTCATACAAGATCAAATACCCTGAGAATTTTTTCCTTCTTAGAGGAAACCATGAATGTGCATCTATTAATAGAATTTATGGATTTTATGACGAGTGCAAAAGACGATACAGTGTTCGCCTATGGAAGGTCTTCACAGATTGCTTTAATTGTTTGCCTGTAGCTGCGGTGATTGATGATAAAATCATATGCATGCACGGTGGCCTTTCTCCTGATATGGAGAGCTTGAATCAAATCAAAGCTATAGAAAGGCCATTAGATGTGCCTGATCAGGGTCTCTTATGTGACCTTCTTTGGGCCGATCCAGACCCCGAAATCAAAGGTTGGGGAGAGAATGATCGTGGTGTTTCCTACACTTTCGGACCAGACAGAGTAACTGAGTTCTTGAAGAAACATGATCTTGATCTTATATGTCGGGCTCATCAGGTTGTTGAAGATGGCTACCAGTTCTTTGCAGACAGACAATTAGTTACAATATTTTCAGCACCAAATTATTGTGGTGAGTTCAATAATGCAGGTGCACTTATGTGCGTCGATCAAACTTTACTTTGTTCATTCCAGATTATCAAACCCTTGAGAGGAAAGAATGCATGTTAGATTCATTTGCAAGCATACAAGCTTCAACTTTTGCTCCAAACAATCAAATAAATATGTCAGCCTTGCTTGCATGTGATACAGCTCAAATTTTTTCCCAAATTCAATAACTTGTTGTCTGCATTCTTTTATGGTAGATGAAGATATGCCAAACTGGGATACTCTACTTTTTGCAACCACTTCCAACCTCATTGGTAGCAGGTGTAATGAAGTTAGGATTCAAAATGAGGGTTTATAAATAATGATTTGTTAGGAGATGTATATATATGTACTTAGGCAATTGTGTTTTTTGTTTTATAGCATAACTAACTAATATTAATCTTACTTGTATGTATATTTTTCTATGTATATTGTTCTATTTGTATATAGCTGCATATATATCATATCTTCTCTCTAATATAATCTATTTAAACTTAAGGGGACAGACAAATATTTAAGTGAAAGTAATAACATATTTGCGCAACTCCCACACCACATACAGGGACAGATCCACCTACATATAAACAACTCATTTTCTAGTTCTAATTTACATGTCAGACCGTTTTTATCATGAAGTTAGTTAGTTGATTCACTCTCAACTAATCTCACTTTATATATAAACACTTCATTTTCTAGTTCTAGTTTACAAGTCAGACCGTTTTTATCATAAAGTTAGTTAGTTGATTCACTCTCAAGTAATCTCACTTTGTATATAAACAACTCATTTTCTAGTTCTAGTTTACAAGTCAAATCGTTTTTATCATGAAGTTAGTTAGTTGATTCACTCTTAAGTAATCTCACTTTGTATATAAACATATGGCTTGTAATGTTTGTTACTACTTATGGTGGTAATGGCATTCCACGTTCTCTTCTGATTCTTGATGGGAAGAATTAAGACCTTGGCCCAAGCAGATGAAGTCTCTATTTGACTTTCAAGATTATCTTGAGGTGGTTACCAATGACGTTTTTAAGCTTGTAGCAAACACAACTAAAGCTCAACGCAATCTTTACAAGAATCCCAAGAAGAAAGATTGTAAGGCATCATTTTGCATTTGATCAGTAGTTGATGGTGCAAATTTTGATTGAATAGCTCGCGCTTAATCTGCGAAAGAAGCATGGGATATTCTTGTGAAATACTACGGAGGAGGTGAGAAAGTTAAAAGTGTAAAGTTGTAATCTTTACGCAAGCAGTATGAGTTGCAACAGATGAGAGAAACTGAGTAAGATGTAGTCTATGTGTCTAAGGTACAAAATCTTGTTTACTTGATGAAAGGTTGTGGTGAAATAATGACAGACAAGATGATTATTAAGAAGGTGATGAAAACCTTGACCTCTCATTTTGATCATGTTATTGTGATATTCAAGAATATAGTGTTTTGTCCACAATGAAGTTGGAAGATCTAGTAGGCTCTTTGGAATTCCATGAGATACGGATTATTGAAAGAAGATGAATTCAAGAAGCCATTCAGGCTTAGCAGACTCATACTTAAAAGAAGCATGGTGGAAGTGGAAAGCTTAAATGAATTTTTGACAAAAACAATTACAAGAAGAGTTATTGGCCTCATCTTTAGAAAAAGAAAAATGTTGGCAAGTTTGAATCTTCTAAAAGCAGAGGGACTTCTTATCATAATAAAAAATTCGACATGACTATGCAATGTTTTAACTTTGAGAAATGGGGTCACATGATCAAGAACATTTTTATCCTCGATCAACTTATGGCACAAGTAACGGTGATTGGTATGCTAAAGTTTTTGTAACGTTCCAAATTTTTATCCAAAATATTTCTTAAAAATATAACTTTAATATTATGTGGCCGTTTTTTTATATTCAAACAACATAATCATTCATGATAAATTCTAAAAATTATACTAAATTTTTTTATATTAAAATAAATTATTTACGACGTTACAAATCCTCATCTCTAAAATTTTGATAATAAAATAATCTTCCTTACAAATAAAATTACAAAGTTCAAAATCCTTAATTAACTCCCCCTATTGTGCATAATATTTTATTCTTGTAACTTCACATCTTGAACTTATTAGTACCTAATATATTATTTGTATGAGGTTAATTGCAACACTCTATTTTCTTGTCAGTAATTTATATAATAATCAGAGTAATTTAATTTCTAAATAATCAAATAGGATGTCACATACTCCGTCAATCACACATGCTCAATTAAGGATACACAACACAATTCATGTATTTAAAAGTCAATCTTCAATACGTTTATTCGCAGCGGAAAAACATCAAATAATTAATCATCTCGATCCTCCAACTAGAGTTATAATTATAATCCTTCATACATCAGCAAAATCATAAAACAAATCAATTAAAAGAGTAATACATATTCACTCCTAATCATAACGAACAAATCAAGCGAAACCCCAAAGTGTTACATATCAGAGTAGACACCGACTCAATCTACGCAATTGAAGGAACTCCTCAGCTAACCTTCGATCTCTAGCTACTTCGGGTCATCTGCATGTTACCCACGTGGAGGTAACATTCAAATAGAAAGGGTGATATATCATAATAATATAAGAGAAATCATAATAATAATAAATAGGTAAGATTCAAGCACATAATCAACACATAACATACATTGTATATAATACACACTTTCATCAATCTTAATCCATCAATTATCAATCACAATATGATTCAAGGACTGACACTAATGAAATGCATGTGGTACCAATCAAGGTATAACCCTCTTTGCAATAATTCCAGTTAGGACAATCAACTTCGCTCGCCATTACATGCCTTCGCTCGCCAATACAGACCTTCACTTTATGAATGCATGAGACACTATCATGCAAAAATATACTTCACATTTATCTTTAATACTCATCACAATATTGCCAATACAGACCTTCATCACCGCCTTCGTCATGTATCTCGTATCACACAATCAAAACAATCATCGCAATTAACCACAACATAATTCATGTCATACAAATCAAAACACACGTACGAATCAGTAGCAATGTTGATGAAATAATTAACTAGTGCATTATATATAAAATAGGAAATTATTTTAGCTTTCCAACAATTCAAACGACACGTCAAACGGACACCCGAGACAAAAGTTATGGGCTTTAGAAGTTTTCCAAAAAAATATTCAGTAGCAGTGGTAACCAATTACCCAGTTATGAGAACCAGTTACCGCAGGTGTTGGCTCCCAAATTCGACACTTGCTATATTTGGACTTCTTGACCAAACAACTGGAAATGAACTACACCAGGAGATGTAATTCGACGCATGAGATAAATTAAGGAAAGGATCCAAGGCATAATAAGAAAGCTTCGACCAAATACTCATTCGGCCGAGGCAGATGCAGGTTGTTTCGACTGAAGGGAAGTGTTCGCGTCTTGGCACGTGGGACGAAGACCATTTTGAAATTCGAATTATTGGAGGGAAAGGTGGTTTTTATCAGCGTCTAAGGGAAGGAAACGTGGCAAAAGGCTATGGGTCAAGAGACATGCAGGAGACACTTGTCTTCATTTTAGCGCAGGATGTCCCCTCGACGGTTATCTATTTTTAGTATAAATTAAGAAGTTTGTGTAATTTTTAGTGTGTGCAACTGATAGTACAAAATCTCTCAAATATTATCCAAGTAACTATTGCGTGAGAAAGGATAAAAAGCAGAGCAATGTATGTTAGAAACACCTTTTTTACTTAATGAAAGTCTTTTCACTTTACTTTACCATTATATTGCAAAGTTATCTTTTACTTCTTTTCACTTCTTTTACTTGCATTTTTATGTTTTCATTTACTGTTCAACAATCTTAAAACATCTCTCCCCTGGGTCGAACGTGCGTTCTTCCTTCTCACTCATTTTACATAAAGATTAGCATATGTTCTGGGATTAGTTTGGTCGATCCCGCAAGCAAACCAAAAACTTACCTTTTTTGGAGACCAGCGGTTGTTTACCAAAAACAACGATAAACAAATTGGCACACCTGGTAGGACGTTGCTAATTGTCTATGTTATTGCGTTTTTTTCTGTACAGTTATAACATTGCATGTTATTACGGAGTGGTAGAATAACCAACAAGTATACTGTTAGGAAATAAAGCGGAGAGAATAGTATGGCTAATGAGCCAAACCATGGAGAGATACCTCCACTGATCACAGGAACAACAGTTACTACTATTGTCGAAGGGACTATCCCAACTTCTGTCAGATCCATGCCAGCGTTAACCATGAATCAAACTGGACCCTTACATACGTATATGGGTCCAAGAGGTCTTTCAGGAACACCCCCACCAAGGATGAACCTAGGGTCTCGATCAACTGTACCCCCAGGCTTTTCGACAATCTGGATGGGTCGAGAGCAGCCATATGGCATGCCAACTACTGAAATGGCTAGCCTTATGAATGCTGCGTCCACTTTCTCAGAACCTTTGGTAAATGCTACATCACCATTACAGGGATCTGGAGCCAGTAGAAACCAATTTTTAGGAGGGCCATCTCATATGATACCAAGTCTCACAAATGCTTCGACAGCAATTTTGAGGCAACAGATGGACGAAAGTAACCATGAAATGGTACAGATGTTAGCACAGACTCTAAGTACAATACTAAATCCCCTCATTCAGACTGCAACGCAGTCGAATCAACAGATGACAGCGCAAATAACGCGCATGGCTGAGTTCTTTGGGGTGCCTCAAGTTGCTCAACTACCCCAAGTTGTTCGACAGCCTCAGAGGGTACTAATAAGATTAAATCAAGGGGTAATCATGGAAGAAGATTTGACCATTAATCCAAACCCCCAAGTTCCAAGGGTTTAAGTAGAACAACCAAGATTAGAGATACCTCGAAACCATCGAGAAATCGATCAAGGCGTTATTTTGGCAAATAGAAACCAAAATGTTGACGAATTAATACAATAAGTTCGACACCATAACTATGGGGTGGATAATAATTTAACTGCTATGATCGAGAGAATCATGCTTCAAAACGGGATGAATGTTGACTTCCATAGACCAAACTTTACATCCCCATTGTTAGAATATA